ATCGAGCAGGGTGATGAGTTTCATGGCATGATCCCGAAATCATCCGACAAGAAGTCATTCCACGAGTATGACGACCGCCACATAACGAGGGCAGATCTACCATTCGCAACCATTGGAGTCTTCCACATCCATCCTTCACTTAGCCATGGAGCAGCAAAGGAAGATCTTCAGAATGAAGTCATGCCGCTCGTGACCTTGTACCGATGCGATGCGATCACCGGAGACGCCAACAAATCGGCGAACACCTACAGCAAACTCCAGCATGTCTACAATCCGACCAACGGTCTCGTGAACATCCTCATGAGAGCATATCAGAGACTGTGGAACGCAACGAAGAATCTGCCACTCGTGGACAGAATGGAGTATGCAATGGAGACTTCGTGCGCCCTGAAATCCATTGTCCGTCATCACCTGCACATGAAATGCGGATCAGGTTTTGATCGAACATTCCCAGATGTGATGATGACTATCGTATTTGGATGGGGCAAAACGAACATCCAGCAGGATTTCCGGAAGGTCGAGATGAACGGTATGGATGATGAACAACTGGAATTCATGCGGAACCATCCAACCAAGGCCATATTCGATTACCAGGTCTCATCCGCAGAGCGCTACAAGCACGTGAACAATGAAATGTTCATGAATGGCTCGCAGGACTCCGACTCCCACAGTCCTCTCATGGTTTACATCCGCAGCAAGTCTGCAACCAGTAAACGCAACTCTGAGAGATACCAGGATTACGTCAAGAAGAAGCAATCATCCTGGACCACGCAGGAGTACAAGGACTACAACGGACATCAGAAGCAGTGGAAGGACTATAGCACTTCGACCTGGAATGATTATGGGGACCATGGCAGAAGATACGTTCAGCACCACGAACAATCCAGATGATTGATCCTCCTCGTCTACAAGACTATACCATGAGTGAGAGATCAATAGTTTCACAATCGCGGTGTACATAGCGTTGTACATCAACCTTTGATACAATTAGGTATCCAAAAGAAGCAGTACATAGTGTTTCCCATTTCGAAGGCCAAGACATTTCATCCAAGCAGAAAAAGGATGAATTCGGCACTTTTAATCACATGGCTACGGCACACATCAAGGCTACGGTCAAAGGCCATGAAGCCAATAGTATTTCATACTTTGTGCTGGAGATCAAAAGAAATTTGTGTCTGTTTTGTGTTCTGTTTTTCAGACCATTGATCTCCCGCAACATTTGGCTCAAGGGCCCCTTTTTGCATTAATCACGACCATCCAAGCGTGAAGACAAAAGAGCCATTGCAGGCCGCTTACAGGATTATCCACAAGACAATCCACCAGGGACAATCCATCCTCCAATCATCCATTACTGGCATATTGGACTCTCGATTCAGGGACCAACAACGACCTCAACTACCACAGGGTTCCAGTTCCCTCCGGGGATAGGCACCTGGGGCAGTGGGCCTCACCCCCCCCCCCCGATCGCGCGGCGTGCGCAGCCAATCGATTCCCCCTGCCGGCTCTTTGCTGGTTTGGGGTTCCTGCCTCCTTTTGCCGAAAAAAAATTGGACGTCCTAATTGCCTAAACGCTGGAAAAACAGTGTTTTTGGCGGCAAATATTGGGGAGCAAAGCAAGGAAGTGCACGGAAATGAGGGGAGGAAATAGGAAGTCGACATGACAGGAAAGCAGCGGGACACGAAAGGGAAACCAAGGGGAATGAAAGGGACATGCAAGGGACAGAAATGAAAACAAGGGGAGTGCAGGGGGAAGGAAAGGGAAACAACGCACAAGGAAACCAATCGGCGCGACGGGAGATGTAGGGAAATGACTTGCAACGAAAGAACGGGACATACATGGAAAAATGTCAGGGACATGAAGGGGGGGGGGTTGAACGGCATGGAAGGGACAAGGACATGAATGGGAAATCAGGGGGAAAGCCAGTAGTGAGATGACAGTTCCGGGTCATGCAGGGGCCGTGCCCGGACATCGAGGCAACTCAGAAGGGACGTGACTGCAATGCAGAGAGAGAGAGAGAGACACAGAAAGACGGAGAGAGATAGAGAGAGAGAGAGAGAGAGGGACATTGAGGAGACGCACGAGGGAGACAGGGCAGAGAGGAAGAAGAAGAAAAGGGAGAGGACAATGTCGCCGGACTGAGCCGGAGGCTCTAAAGTAATTTGTGCCAAGAACTTGCTTGGAGAACTTGCTCAAAGGAGCTCGCGCCAACAAGTTGCTCAGAGGAACTTGCGCAGGGAACTTGCTAGGATCACTTGGCGCCGTGCGCTGCTCATGCTTTCGGGCCACCCATCTTCTAGTCTCCTCTTGGTAGCATCACTGTAGTTCGAGCACCCTTTCTTGTTGGCAGTGCTGTTGTAAACCTTGCCTCCTATCTTGTTGCCAGTATTTAGCACCTTCTCAGTTGGACAGCCATGTGGCCCGGCCAAAATCATATCCAGTCTTTCGCTTCGCTAGCTGGTCCTGCGACGCTTTTTCCTCATTGCAACCTATGTAATCCAGCCCCACTGACAAACGCATTTTGCTGAAGCATTTCCCACCTTCGTGATGGCAAGGTCGCAGCTTTGACGTATCTCGTTGCCTCCTGACAGAAGGGTTGAAAACAGATTTCTCAGCGTTGTTTCCGCATATTTCGCAATATGGACGCTGCTGTTTTTGCAGGTGTCCGAAAGTGCCCAGGGCTTGCAAGTGCGAGGGCTCAAGGGTTTTCATGGCGGGACGTCGTAAGGTGCGATTCTCTGCGGCACTAGCTTCCCTACAGTCTCTGGACCCATGGAACACAAAAGGGGTCAACGTGAGCTGCATTGCATGGCCCTTGTGCTAGCCTCCCCCGCAGTGAGTATTTTTGGAAATCCGAGCAATTCCGTTTCATTCTCGCAATCAACGTTCTTTTCCGAGATCTCGACTTGAAGTTGGCACCTCCGGGCGAGATTCTGATTTACTTGCTCGCAGCATACGTGGCTTGTCGGGAAACCAAGGGGATGTGCTGATAGCGTCAAGACCAACACATGCTACAGACATGGTCCATCCATTTCTTCTTTGACGACACAGCTTCGCCTCCACTACATCGATCCCGACCCGTTCAAGCAAAAGGTTTCGATGCTGCTGGACACTCTGCATGCGTGGCGAACTCCCCAGCAACATTACGGAATGGCGGCTCTGGTGCTCAATGTGGTGATTGCAACAAGGACACACGGTCATGGCCATGTTTCGACACATGCTCGGTGGCTGTAGAATCTAATAAGAGTTGCTAACGCCGCGGCGTGTTTGATGGTTTCTGTTTGGGGCCATCAACAAGAGCCGTTTCGCCAATCGCAGAGTGGCTTGGTGTTTCCTGGCTACTTGCTCTTGGAGATCTGGTGGTGTCGCAGAGAGGGACGAGCGAACACACAGTCAAGCAGGCGTGCTTATCATCTTGTTGCATCGTAAGGGGGGGTCCGAGCTCCAAGGTTTTTTCTGACCGGTTTCCAGAAAGAATGGTCCTGGAAGTAAAGCCTTGGGTGAGTCGGGTCCCCAACCAAACCATTAGCTTGTAAGAGTTGTTCGCATCGTCCCTGCACTTGTCGAGTTCTCTTCCAAAAGCTTGGTTGATGCATAGGAGCCTTTTCCTAGCAACAACTTCGCTGACCTTGACAACTTGGAAAGAGTCCATGAACCCGGCCAGTTGATCACTGTGCTGCTGGAGCTGAGTGAACGCAAGGCCCAGAAGTTGTTGCCAGCGGCGTGCGCTGGAATGACGGCCGCCGGTCGTTCACCACACATGTGAACACCAATCTGCGAACCATAAGCGCCAACTCCAAGATGAACCCGGCCAAGCTGGTGGTGTCCACTGTGCAGCCAGCATTGCTAAGTTGGGGCAAAGTTCTCACACGTTTCCGCGATGGAGCAGGGCTGGAGCTGACATTCAAAGCCAAGCTTGTTCCGGAATGGAGCGGCGTTGGGCGCATGGAGCAAAGCCATGCGTTGGCCATTTTGGGAGCTCAAACAAGGTGCGAACCAAACGGGCACCTTTGCTGACGCTTGCCAAGTTGGCGCGGCGTGTGTCTGCGTTGCTAGGCGAGGATGTCCCGGCCGTAACGCTACAAGGCGCAGTGTGCAAGTTTATGCAAGCGCTCTCTTGCTTTGCTTGTGGCAAGACCTTGAGCCGAGCTCGAGAAGAAGATAGCAACCAGAAGTGACATCTCGGCCGCAGGCTGCTGAGACTGATGCGCAAGTTTCAGCAGAGTAGCGATACGGCCACCAAATGCTGCGGTGATGAAAAGTGCTACGAGTTCCTTCGAAACTTCCTTTGGTTAATGCCAGGTGTTAGGTTGATTCACCCCAAATCCCCGGGGCCTTCACTCTCGAACATGGCATTGACATGGAGTTTTCTCCTCGAAGTCGATGAACCGCATCGATGCTTTTAGCCGGCGTCAAGGAGATGGATGGACCCGATGTGTCCTCTTCCCAAAAAAGGGGACTTCCTGCAGGGACATACATGGATTGCAATTATGCGTTGCTCACATAAGCTACACAAGTTCGCACCTTACATGAAGGAGACAAGCCTTTTTTTGCTATACAGACCGGTCATGTTTTTTTGCTGTTTGGGGTCGAGGCTGGTGTAATTATTTGAAAATGTCCTCAAATGATGTGTCCCCACACACCATTTTTTTGGGGACGTATTTTTTTACCAAATGCTGTAATGCCCACAAGGCAGTGACCTTCTGACCTTCTAGTCACGTGTGAAAGCCCTGAAATCGTTGTCGATATGGGCCCCATGCTGGAACTGAGAGCGCGGGCGGCAACCGCCCATGGAGCGACACATCCAAAGATGCTGATGTTAATTAGCTGCGAACAGGAAGGGAGGAAGACTGGCAGCCTGTCTACAGCTCACTTGCCCCCAGAGAAGCTGCGAGTCTGACGCGTTGTGCGGCTTAACACATGTGCCTTTTTCTGGCGCTGACTTCTCGGCAGTGCAGTTACGCCCGCATGAAAAAGGCCAAATTCAACCCTCATGCGTTCGAAGGTGTTCGAGGTTCAAAGGCTCAGCCTCACCATGAGCCACAGCCAAAGAATGGGGACGTACCGACAGGCCCGCCCGTTTCAAGCCGATTGCTTAGCAAAGCCCTTCGACGCAGGCGTGGAAGCTGTTGGCAGTTTTTCTTTGCCTCCGGAGCACCGCTCTCAGCTGCATTGAGTTGACAAGCGACAATGCAGAGACAATCGCCCCCAGGCGTAACCTTCCTAGCCCCCACAAACCGCCGTGCAGTGTTGGCAGCAGCTACATCTGCGGCTGCCTCAACTTCAAACTGGACTCAGAGTGAGGGGGTCGAGACAGTGCAAGCCCAGCGTTGATTTGACAGGGCTTGCCGCTTGAGTCAGGGGGGATCCTCATGTAGCGCAAGTGGCGCTGCACGATGCGAAGCTCGCTCGCGTGTCTTCCGAGGCGCTGGGTGTTGAGTCCAGGCTGGCTCCAGCAACTGCGTTTGGCAGTGACCCTGCGGACTGGTTCGGAGCACGCCTTGGCTTAGCGAAGAGATGCGCAGAGTGTGAGGGACGGCGGTGGACAAATTGGAGACTCACCAGTCCTGAGGATACTACAGGGACCCGAACCATCCGGGCAACTTGGCAACTTTCCGACACTTCCGACTTGATGCCAAACTTGTGTCTTTCGCAATATGTCACACCATGTGTTCACATGACAGGCTGCACCCGCAAGATTCAGTACGATGACACTGGCCCCATGGTGATCTTTGGCACTGATGGGAATCCTGGTTGCCTCGGTGACGGCTCCAAGATAACGAAGAATTGGAGGGTGGGACTCTCAATGTGTTCAATGCTTCAATGCACAGGGTGAAGCAGAGTGTTCTGTGAGATCTATCCCACCTTCACGCCGGGGTCTGACAGTATGGTCTTCGACTTTAGCTCCAAGGTGGGACTCGCTTGCGCAAACGCTGGACATGTGACATGGGAGACATGGGAGACACGGGAGACATGGGAGACGCAGAGACATGTAAGGGCGGTCCTGCCAACGTGACTGGCAAATGGGATGGCACTGGGATCGTTTTCCCGGACGGCAACAAGTGGAAGCTCGGACCTGTTTTGTGTTTTTTCTTCGGAAATCCTTTGATCCCGCGGACTTGAACTATCTCGAAAGACCGCGGACTTGGTTCTCTGAGGACGAGATTCATCCGATAGGAGGGCGAGCGAGCGAGAGCTCCAGGACTGCGACTGATCCATGTAGGCATCTGCCGTCGCGTGAGCAAGACCTCGAGCGAGCTGCGAGTGGGAAAAAGCGCTTGACCGACGGAAAACGCTGCTTGGCCTTCCGATTTGTCGCCATGGCGCATGTGGCTATATGTCAACCCCTTTTGATGGGGACATCCGATCCACATTGTTCTCATAACTCTTTCTGACTCTGCAAAACGATCCTCTCTGTCGATCTTCTGAAAACCTTAGCGCCACGATAGCGTCACGCGAGCTCGTTCCTATCCGACCTGCGATTTACGGAGCTGCTGCGCAAGCATTGCGATTCAGGTCACCATGCCTCACTGCATCGGACTGTGAGAGTGTCTCACGCGGGGTCGGCAAGCTCAAATTCAGACAGGCCGAGCGCGGAACAGCCACTGGCCAGCCGCTTTTTGGGAGCAGACTCGCAGTCTGAAATGACCGGAAAGCGCACCGCTCGCTTCGATTCACATCGGCGCCCGGCAACGCCCGCAATTGCCGCCTGAGACGGGCGAGCTCGCCGGCTCGCACTTCCGAGGCGAATGCAATTACAGGGTCCGGCGTCCGAGGCGCCCCGTCAGCGAGCTTGAAGGACGGATTGCCGCCCGCCCCCCAAATTGATAACTTGCCATTTGCCAAATCTTCTCCGGGAAAGGCCTTGTGGAAAGCTGCTGCGAATAGTTGAGGAAGCCTCAAAATCTTGCGCAGAAAGCTGCCTGAGAGGCCGGACGCTGAAACACCCGCACGGACTGTCAAAGCTGCGCAGGAGCGCTTTAGACAAAGGCCAAGACCATTCAAAACCCAAGGACTCCTTAACAGTCTTCTCCCTTTACATGCCCCTGCACAACTGACCTGCGGCGACTGGCATCCCAGAACCGAACACTATTGACATTGACATCGGAGTAGCACAGAGGACCGTTCGCTGTTCCATTGCCGGTCTGATTAGTGAATTGAAAGCATCAATGCACAACCTTTTATTCTCATAATTACTCAGACTTTGTTTGACTTGAGACATTGAATATATTTGATGCGACTTGCTCCTGATGAAGTTGTAGGTGACTTCGTGCTTTTTGTTGTGATACAGTGCTTCGTGGTATTTTTGGTAGGTCAGTTTTTTCACCTTGTGTTTCACCACGTCTTTTGATATCTCATGTTCATCATCCTCGCCGTGGATTGTGAAGGCATATGATTTAGGTTTTAGCCAATGAATTGTGTAATGATTTTTTCATTTACTTCGCCCTTAAACATTCCTAAAGACCTTCCTATTTGTTTTGTCAAAGCAAGGATGCTCAACAGGGTAATCGCTGGGCTCCATATGTTGCAAAATCTCGTTAAAGTCCTTATAAAAATCATCAGTGAAGGTTTGGAGTACATAACTGTCAGTATCGGTATATATCAAGTTGATATTTTCATTGTACTTCTTTTTCAATACATCATAATAATACTGATACACGTGTAATTTACTTGAATCTAAAATAGTCAGTCCTAGAAAGATGGGTTTATCCAGTTTCGTTTTGCTTTAGTTTTCTCAACTCCGATGGCAACCGAGCAGCAATCTGCACTTGGAGAAGCTCAGCTCCCCAATCAAAAACATTCGCCGAAGATTCTGCACTATCGTCATGTATTTCCTCGACTTCAGGCTTGGCTTTCTTCTTCGGTGTCTTTTGCCCCCTTTACGAATTAGGACAGGGGTTTCCGATTCGTCCTGCAAATAGGCAACGATAGCCTTCAAAGCTGCGGGGGTCTTATTGCCACTGGACATCGACTTTCTTTTGGCCCCACTGGTTTGCACACAGGAATCGAAAAGCCCACATCTTGGCTTCGTTGTCACTGAGCCAGTCAAAAGCAGTACTGGCTGCTGCTGTCAGCATTCAACTCAGAGGTGATTTTCTTCTCGGCCAAGTAAGTCTGCGTATCATCCGGGCTAGCGTTGACCCGTGGGGTACTCAGCGCCATGAGCGCATGTCTGAGCTCGAAAGCCTGCAGTGACGAAATGTACACTTGGACCAAACATGTGCCAAGGAGACGTGCTCCTCCACTCGAACAGCCGGGCTCCTAACCAAAAAAAATATTGATTATATAACAACAAAAGTCCTTGAATAAGGACTTTTGGAATCATTGATGGATTCATCAATGAGCATCACTCCGACCCGCGTGTGAAGGCGCTGCGAGGTCGCTTCCTGTTGATTGGCGTGAGTTCTCTGTGTTGATTCCTCTTCCTCATTTCAGGTTTCGTTTTGTGACTGCAAGTGCCTTCGTTTCCATGTTCATCTTCGCCTCCTGCTTGGGAATGTAGAAGATGTTCTGGCGCGAGCCGCCTCTGGGCGTTTTGACGTGTTGGATCCTGGGTCGAGGGCCTGGTCACGACGAAGAGATTGTGATGCTGTGTTGTCATCAAACTAACTGCGCGGATCAGGCTTTCTCTCTGATGGTCTGATGTTCACTTTGAACGATCTAAGAGCCTTGCAGCGCGTGGCAACGTGCCTGTGGTCCGTTGACATACTGTCTCAAAAGTCTCCGGATTCAGGGTATGCGCGGGCGGCGCTCCAGCCTGAGTCGGTTGCACTGGCTACTCTGGCGACGCGGGCATCAGCAGGAAGTACCTCTTCAGTGGAATCGAATCCTTTAGGCCCCCAGCGCTCTGACTCAACGGTTGTAAATGAGGTCCAGTCATATGAGTTCCTCGTATCTAAGTCAGCTGACTTTGTCCGTCGCACGATGGCGACTGCTTGGCGGTCATTGGGCGCCCCTGCGATCTCCTCAGCGCGAACAATGCCATTCAACACGAACGTGATCTTCCTGCTTGAATGGCGCGATGATCTGGAGTGGCTGTGTCCTCATGTGGCTGATCACTTGCAAGCACTTGTAACTTCTGATGTTGCAAGAGCATGTCAGGCGCCTGGCGGAGTGTGCGAGCTCCTCAGCTGACCAATGCTGAGAAGTGTGTTGGTGCGGCGCCTTGCTCAAGAATGTCGATTGATGGGTGCTGGATGGAGGTGTCGTGTGCGAAGTCAAAAGTGAACTTCTTCATTGGATCATGGTGCGTCAAGTCAAGGGTTGCAAAGGTCGGGTTGTCTCACAGGTTCATGACCGGTGCCATTGGCTTGGCTGCGGTTGGTCGTCGCTGAGAGGTTGCGGGTTGCGGGCAGCAACGTGACTTGCCAGCATTGCTTGTCCTGCGCTGGATGTACCAGCCGAGCCGGTTTCACTCCAACTCCGAACCCTGATGCTTTCTCCATCTCTTGACATTCTGATGATTCTTGTCGGAAGACCCGGCCACTCCACACGCAGTTGATTCCCACTCACTCCCGGTCTTGCACCAGGGGCGTGGGGGTTTTTAAGGGCAAACTAGATTTTTCTCGGCGCTTCTGGAAAGCAACATGTTGACAATTTGTATGTTTGGTGTGGAAATTGGTTTGAGTTTTTATTGATGCATGAGCGTGATAAAAAGCTTGGTAGGTGTCTCTAAGTCTTCCCTGAACTTGTTCTTTAGCTAATAAATTTGGTTGCAGCCACCATTGAAATTTGATGGATTGACTGCAGCCAATTAAAAGGCACACGTTGTTGTTTTTCTCTCGTCAAGCAACTTGCCATGTGCCGTGTGACACGTGAGTTTATAGCGATGATCACGCTGGCACGGGCAGGGGCAGGGCAGGGGCAGGGCCGGGGCAGTGTCTTGAGTTGCTGTTTTTGAAAAATGGGTAAGTGCATTCTCATGTGCGCTCATGCTTGGTTGTCAGTGGTTGGGCGCCCTGGAACTGGGTGCTGGGGGGTAGCAGTTCTGAGGGAGCTACCACTGTTCTCAGAATTCAACCCACACCTGTTAGAATTCGGCTTTTGCACGCAAGGTCCTCCCTAAGATTTGCTAAACTTATATCGCAAGGTTCAGTTTGCTGTCGCTTGTCATTTGTCTATTTTGGGGGCTTTGGCATTTTCTGGCGGCGCCTGGGGCATCTTCTTCTGCGCCAACTTCACTGCCCGGACGCCCAGACTCTGAGTGTCAGCCGTGTCTGCGCGTTAATGAGAATTGCGCGTGGCATGACGGACACATCGTTTGTTAACATTGGCTGCTGTTCATTGAGTGCCTGAGCGAGATAGCCTGCAAGGTCTGTGCTGGCTGCTGTATGATTTGGCTCTGGCGTGTTTGTGGGCTTCTGAGCTTTTCGAAGTGTTTCCAAATCGACAGTCACGCGTTTCAAGTATGTTTTTTAAGCTTCATCTGGCTCAAGGCGTGTGCCAACTTGTCATTTGACTTTGACTTTGTGGAAGTGGAAACATGTCGTCGCCTGACCTTGGACAAGGGCCTGCAACTCCATCATTCGCAGTCGCCGCGGACCAAGGGTCAAGGTGCATATTTGACACGTCGCCCAGCTATTGTAATAGAGTTGAGTTATTTTTCTATTACTATATGATTCTGTGTAGTGCTTGAAGCCGCTGTGTGCTGAGCACTGTCTGCGTCATTGTCAAAGTACGGAAGCTGCTTGATTTTTGAACCGAAGCCCAGGACCAATAACGTGATCCACGTTCCTATGCACCTTGTCGCTTGTCTTGCCGCATCTGCCCCCAATTGTCGTGAAGCTTCCCATCAAATCATGTCATCTACGCAGAGGGAGTTTTCTGATCCCACTGCAATGCTGCTTGCTTGTAATGTCCAGCATTCTGGCAGCATCCCAAGCATCAGTGATGGATTGTTCGTTTCGCATGTTCACTGCCAACTGGAACTAAATTGTGCGTGTGTGCTACATGGCATCTTGGCCACTGTCGCGACTTGACTTGTGTCACTTACTCAGTTACTCGTGTCAATTGCGCTAAACTGCGACAGCGCAGGTTGCTGGAGATGGCGCGGGAATTCAGTGCGGCAATGTGCACGGTTGAAGAATGCCATTCATTGTGACTTTGACTTAGCTTTTCTTTGGCGTTTTGAATCCCGAAGCAACGATTCAAATTGAGATTGACTTGCGACGTTGTCATTCACATAAAGTGCCAAGTGGGAAGGTAGTCAGTTGACTTGGCATCTCTCATCTGAGACACTATGATACTGGCTCTTTTACGATCGTGCGTCAAGAGCTTGCGCGCCACCCTT